CCTCTCCTCGTCCTCCCCATCTCGGGGTCCCCAAAGTCCTGTCCTTGGACCTCTCCTCCTCCCCATGTCAGGGTCCCCCAAGGTTCCGTCCTTGGACCTCTCCTCCTCCCCATGTCGGGGTCCCCCAAGGTTCCGTCCTTGGACCACCCCTCCTCCCCATGTTGGGGTCCCCCAAGGTCCTGTCCTTGGACCCCTCCTCCTCCTCCTCCCCATGTCGGGGGTCCCCCAAGGTCCTGTCCTTGGACCCCTCCTCCTCCTCCCCATGTCGGGGTCCCCCAAGGTTCTGTCCTTGGACCTCTCCTCCTCCCCATGTCGGGGTCCCCCCCAAGGTTGCGTCCTTGGACCACCCCCCTCCCCCATGTTGGGGTCCCCCAAGGTTCCGTCCTTGGACCTCTCCTCCTCCTCCCCATGTCGGGGTCCCACAAGGTTCTGTCTTTGGACCTCCCCATGTCGGGGTCCCACAAGGTTCCGTCCTTGGATCTCTCCTCCTCCTTCCCCACATCCAATCCCTGTCTACATCATGCAGCCTCAATATCTCCATCTGACCAATCACACCACGGGGGAGGGCCCTGAACAGGTCTGGTGTCCCCAGTAGGGAGATTCCCCCAAAATTCTCCCTCCCTTCCGGGGACACAGACCGGGTCCCCTCTGACACCATACTACCCCTCCCCCAATGTCACACACTGTACAGGAAGGGGACGGGGCCAGCTCCTCAGCACCCACAATGTCTGGCCGTGCTGGCCCAGCTCCTCTCATCCCCCATTATAGGGGCCGCACTGTGAGAGGCATCTGCTGGAGGCCGCCACCCGGGATGGGGGGGGGGGGGGACACTGACCTGTGCTCGGCTCGGCTCCGCTCCCCGCACAGCACTCACAAGCCAGAAGTGGGCGGAGCTCCAGCTGCCGGAAGTTGGTGAGAAGACAAGGCGTTCCGGGGGGGTGACCGGAAGTGGAGATGAAACGCAAACACGGAAGTGTGCACCGGAAGTGGGTGTGGTGATGGTGAATGTCTTCCCCGGGCGGTCCGGATCAGGTCAGTGTCTGTCCTCTTACCCCCCCTCCCCTCCCCCTCTCACCCGGGTGTGGGCGGGGCGGACTTTACCTGATAATGAGCCCCTCCCTTCTCTGTGTGTCTGTTGTGGGTGGAGATGGAAGAGGCTCCTCCTCTGTAGAGGGTGAAATAGGTCACTACCAGAGGCCCCCACACATAGAGAGCCCCCCCCTCCCCCCACACTGAGATCCCCTCCCTCCCCCCACACTGAGATTCCCTCCCCCCCACACACAGAGATCCCCTCCCCCCACACACAGAGAGCCCCCCCACCACACTGAGATCCCCTCCCCCCACACTGAGATCCCCCCTACACTGAGATCCCTTCCCCCCACACACTGAGATCCCCCCCCACACACAGAGATCCCCTCCCCCCACACTGAGATCCCCCCTACACTGAGATACCCTCCCCCCACACACAGAGATCCTCCTCACCACACTGAGATCCCCTCCCCCCACACACAGAGAGCCCCCCCACCACACTGAGATACTGTCCCCCCACACAGAGATCCCCTCCCCACACACACACAGCCCCCCACCACACTGAGATCCCCTCCCCCACACACAGCCCCACCACCACACTGAGATCCCCCCTACACTGAGATCCCCTCCCCCCACACACAGAGATCCCCTCCCCCCTACACACAGAGAGCCCCCTACTCTGAGATCCCCCCCACACTGAGATCCCCCTACTCTGAGATCCCCCCCCCACACTGAGATCCCCTCCTCACACACACAGAGAGCCCCCCCACCACACTGAGATCCCCTCCCCCCACACTGAGATCCCCCTACACTGAAATCCCTTCCCCCCACACAGTGAGATCCCCTCCCCCCCCACACTGAGATCCCCTCCCCTCACACTGAGATCCCCCTGCACTGAGATCCCCCCCCCCACACACAGAGTTCCCCCCACACACATAGAGCCCCCACACACAGAGATCCCCTCCCCCCACACTGAGATCCCCCCTACACTGAGATACCCTCCCCCCACACACAGAGATCCTCCTCACCACACTGAGATCCCCCCACACACAGAGATCCCCCTCACCACACTGAGATCCCCTCCCCCCACACACAGAGATCCCCCCCACCACACTGAGATCCCCTCCCTCCCCCCACACTGAGATCCCCTCCCCCCACACTCAGAGAGCCCCCCCACCACACTGAGATCCCCTCCATCCCCCCACACTGAGATCCCCCACCGCCACACTGAGATCCCCTCCCTCCCCCCACACTGAGATCCCCTACCCCCACACATAGAGAGCCCCCCCCTCCCCCCACACTGAGATCCCCTCCCCTCCCTCCCCCCATACTGAGATCCCCTCCCCCCACACTGAGATCCCCTCCCCCCACACACAGAGAGCCCCCCCACCACACTGAGATCCCCTCCACCCCCCCACACTGAGATCCCCCACCGCCACACTGAGATCCCCTCCCTCCCCCCACACTGAGATCCCCTACCCCCCACACACAGAGAGCCCCCCCTCCCCCCACACTGAGATCCCCTCCCTCCCCCCACACTGAGATCTTTCCCCCCCCCCCACCACACTTAGATCCCCTCCCTCCCCCCACACTGAGATCCCCTCCCCCCACACTGAGATCCCCCCTACACTGAGATCCCCTCCCCCCACACACAGAGAGCCCCCACCACACTGAGATTCCCTCCCCCCCACACTGAGATCCCCTCCCCCCACACACAGAGAGCCCACCACACTGAGCTCCCCCACCACACTGAGATCCCCTCCCCCCACACTGAGATCCCCCTATACTGAGATCCCCTCCCCCCACACACACAGAGAGCCCCCCCCACCACACTAAGATTCCCTCCCCCCACACTGAGATCCCCTCCTCCCACCACACTAAGATCCCCTCTCCCACAACACAGAGCCCCCCCACCACACTGAGATCCCTTCTCCCCACACACAGAGATCCCCCCCACCACACTAAGATCCCCTCTCTCCCACCACACTGAGATCCCCTCCCCCCACACACAGAGAGCCCCCACCACCACACTGAGATTCCCTCCCCCCTTACTGAGATCCCCCCTACACTGAGATCCCCTCCCTCCACACACAGAGATCCCCCTAACCACACTAAGATCCCCTCCCCCCACACACAGAGCCCCCACCACCACACTAAAATCCCCTCTCCCACCACACAGAGATCCCCTCCACCCACACACAGACCCCTCTCCACCACACTAAGATCCCTTCTCCCACCACACACAGCCCCCCACCACACTGAGATCCCCCCCCACCACACAGAGATCCCTCCCCCCACACACAGAGCCCCCCCCACCACACTAAGATCCTCTCTCCCACCACTGATCATCGGCCAATCACACCCCCTCCACCAATGATTATCGATCAATCACAATCATCATCCCCCCCCTCCCCCAATGATCATCGACCAATCACAATCACCTCCCCCCACCACTGATTATCGACCAATCACAATCATCCCCCAATGATCATCGACCAATCATACCCCCTTCACCACTGATCATCGACCAATCATAATCATCCCCCCTCCTCCAATGATCATCGACCAATCACAATCACCTTCCCCTCGCCACCGATCATCGATGAATCACAATCATCTCCCCTCCCCCAATGATCATCGACCAATCACAATCACCCCCCCCCCCCCACCACCACTGATCATCGGCCAATCACCCCCTCCCCCCACTGATTACCGAAAAATCACCCCCCCACCACTCCTGCACTGATCACCGGCCGATCACAATCATCCCAAACAGAGCCAGCTGACTTTTCATAGCCCCGCCCCCACCTCCACTCATTGGTCAATAGCACTCTGACCCTCCCACTGTCACAGACTGTGGGGGGCGTCAGCCCCTCCAACTCACACATCGGAATTTGTCATTAATGTTTTAGTTATGTATTTTTCAGTCTCCTCCCCCTCAGGTCAGAACTCTTTACAACAAAATTCAGGGGCCCCCAAATGTAGCTTTTCAGGGGCCCCCCTAGGCAGCACTGCTCAACTTCCCATAAGACCGTCTTCCAGGTAGAATAACACCCAGCATACTTACATTCATGTCCTTGCCCCACCCACCTCCTCCAACTCCACCCCTTACACAGATATAGAATAGGCACAGGAACTCAGGGGCAGTGCTCTAAGGCAGGCCACACCCTATGTACAGAAGTCTCCAGCCTCATGAATGCCCCCACACAGGAAATTACTTTCTCCTTTTTGTCCTTCTAGATACTCCAGAAATAGGAGAAAATCCACCACTCCACCCTGGAGAGTGGAAAAATCATCAGCTCCACCCATGAGGGAGAGAGACTTCATCAAACAGGGAACGAGACTCCAGCCAGGATACAGAGAAAGACACCACGGCTGCACCCTGGAGAGTGAGAAAATCATCAGCTCCACCCATGAGAAACAGAAACTCCCACCCATGAGGGAGAGAGACTCCACCCATGAGGAATAGAGACATACTAAAGAGGGAGAGAGACTCCACCCATGAAGGGGAGAGACTGGCACAAGTATACAGAGAAGGGGACCACATCACAACCCACGAGGAAGAGACCCCACCCATGAGGGAGAGAGACTGGCAACAGTATACAGAGAAGGGGTCCACATCACAACCCACGAGGGAGAGACCCCACCCATGAAGGGGAGAGACTGGCACCAGTATACAGAGAAGGGGTCCACATCACAACCAACGAGGGAGAGACTCCACCCATGAGGGAGAGAGACCGGCACCAGTATACAGAGAAGGGCTCCACATCACAACCCACGAGGGAGAGGCTCCACCCATAAGTGAGAGAGACTCCACCCAGGATAGAGAGACTCAACAATTACCCCCAGGAGAAAGAGAGGCTCCACCCAGGATAAAGAGAGAGACTGTGCTGCTCCTCCCATAAGCAAAAGGGACTCCACCTAGGAAAGAGACGCCATTGCTCCACCCAGGAGTGACTTCCCCCTCCGAAATGACCTCACCGGGGACAAAGATGAGCAGTTGTCTAGAGAAGGTCATCGAGAAGCTGACGGCCTATAAGGAGGGAGCACTGACAGGGGCAGCTGAGAGGAGGCCCGCCTCCACCCATGAGGGCGAGGGGCCAAATCTCACCAGGAACCACATGGCAGGGCGGCATTCACCTCCTAAAGCTAAAGCAGAACCCCGCTCCTGTGAGGACACAGATCACAGAGACATGCCCATAGATCGCACAATGACCAGCATTAAAAGGGAACCCTTCCTGTACGTAGGAGGAGCTCTGGGTTGGACAGTACACCACCCTCTGCACCCCTCCATCCAGATTAAAGAGGAACATTGGCCCTGTGACAACAGGAACTTCTCTGAACTGTTCACCCCGGTGGAGTATACACAGTACAGGTCTGTCCATATTAAAGAGGAACCCCGTGAGGAAGGAGAACTCCTCAACATGGAGGCTCCACCTCACCGCTCTGACCTGGAATCAGCCAGGCGGGAAGATGGCCGCCTCACCCAGAGCTCAATGTTCCCCATGTCCTACCCCTGCAGTGACAGCGGGAAGGCCTTCACCCAGAGGACCCACTTCCTGTCCCTCCAGCAGGAGCACCCGGGTGAGAAGCCATTCTGCTGCTCAGAGTGCGGTAGATGCTTCTCACAGAGGTCCTACTTCCTGTCCCACCAGAGAATCCACTCTGGGGAGTGCCCCTTCCACTGCTTCCATTGTGGAAAATCCTTCCGGATCAAGAGCAGCCTCAACAAGCACCTGAGGACCCACCAGGCAGAGAACCCCTTCACCTGCCCGCTGTGCCACAAGAGCTTCATGCACCGGGGTCACTTCCTGGCTCACCAGAGGCTCCACGCTGACGAGGAGAAGTTCTCCTGCCCCCTGTGCGGGAAATCCTTCATCCACCACGGACACTTCCTGGCCCATCAGAGGAGCCATGCAGAGGAGAGCCGCTACTCCTGTCCGCACTGTCACAAGTCCTTCATCCACCGGGGGCACTTCTCCGCCCACCTGCGGGTCCACACCGGGGAGAAGCCCTTCACCTGCCCCGACTGCGGCAGCAGCAGCAGCTTAGCACCCATCACAACCTGGTGGTCCACCAGAGGCTCCACGCCGGGTCCTCCATCTCCTTCCTGTGAGGAGTTCTCAGGGTGAAGGCGTGAGCCGTCCAGAAACCGGATGGGGCGGGGCCAAAGGGTGGGCAGAAGTGGAAGGGGGTGTGAAAAGTCAGGACCACCCATCTACGATGCTTAGGTAGTTTGTGGGGGAGGGGCACATGGTGGTCTTCTCACTATAAGTGCTCAAAGACCTTGTCCCACCACCGGCCAGTGGTGACCATCTTTCTTGTTCCCGAGCCCTCCTGTATGTCCACCTTGGGGGCGTGTTCACCCTGGGTACCGCCTCCCCCAGCAAGGATGCACGCAGAAACCTTTATGCAATCTGTGAGGACGACAATAAGCTTTATTTACACAAAACGACCTCAACAACGCAAAGTCGACCATCTGCCCTATCTTCCTGGAGGATCTTGTAGGTTTTTTCTTCCAGCGGGAGATGGGCACAGTTGTACTTCCCCCGCAGGGTGCTGTATGCTGGTCACATGACTGTTCTCTCTGTGCTCTGATTGGTCTGCTGGTCACATGACTGTTCTCTCTGCTCTGATTGGTCTGCCGGTCACATGACTGTTCTCTGATTGGTCTGCCGGTCACATGACTGTTCGCTGATTGGTCTGCCGGTCACATGACTGTTCTCTCTTTCCTCTGATTGGTCTGGGCTGCCAAACTCTCTGCCCACATCCACTTAGCTCACTCCTGATGAGACAGATTGATATTAGAATACGTCGACCACTGATATGGGGCGGTCGCTCTGTAGGTGGCCTTTCTGGATTGGACGGCTTCCAGCTCAGGGAAGGGGAGGGGCAGCGCCGGGAGCGCACAGATGTTCACACAGCCAGAAAGTGGAATATAAATGTGATGTGAAATCTTTTCATACAATGTGCCATTTCTTGTCTTGAAGTCCGACTCCAGATGGAACTTTCTATCGTTTTGGGTGGAGCGGGGAAGGGTTGGAGCCTCTGTTAGGTTTTTACTGCCATCTGTGTTTTTATTGGAGGGTGTGATGGTGGATCTCTCCAATGGGGACACAGATGAACACACTTCCAGTAGTAGGGAACCATCCTGTCCTGGTGACACTCACTCCCCATGTTTCTTGTACAGGTGTCACAAGCACAGGAAGTGAGGAAAATCTCCACCATGGGGACACAGACAGAAATAAATTATGGACAGGAATTTCAAGTCTTCCCCGCTCTATCAAAGACTAAATAATTTGGGATGGAGTAGAACTTTGGAGATGCACTGTCACTTGTTCTTGCAGGGCCCTGCCCCTTCCTGTATGACCTCTCCTTCCTCCTCTGCAGCTTCTTCCAGGCTGTTGCTTTCATCCCTTGTGACTGTACTTAGGCCTGGCAGCCAATCACTAGGCCTGGACATTGTCACATGACCGGGAGTGATGGCATGCTCCCCCTGGTCTTTGCTGATGGAGGAAGGAGCAATGAGGGAGGTGGGTCTAGGAAGTTGGGGGAGGAGCTCTTTGCATAGATAAGTGACTCAGAGCCACAACTATATATTATGGCCGCCAGATCAGAATGATGATATCGGAGGCGGAGCTGATTTGCGTTGGGGAGGAGATGAGTGTAAACCGAACTTCTTTCAATCTTCTCTCACCATCAATGTATCTCCAGTGGAAGCCAAGAGTGACATTGGAAGTCTGTGCTGGGTGTCCAATGTCCACTCCATCCACCAATAGGAAAGGCTGGAGATGATGTCACCAGGTGTAGAGGAATGGAATGCATCTCCACACCTCAGCTCCATGAGTACCTCCAGATAGAACCCAAAAATGCCCATAAAATCCATGGTGGACCCAATCTTCTACCTATTCCATTCTCCTTGTTCACTTCTCCTGATTCCAACTTTATTCACAATTACACATCTCCATCATCCTGACAAATAAAACACGGAGGCAAATAACATACACTTCATGGCCAACAGTACCTGACCCCCACCACCACCACTCCTCCGCAGATGATGAAGTTTATTGTAGACAATTGTGCTCTTCTAACCTTGAGGTAACAGTTTGGTGAAGACCCTTTTCTATTCTCTCATGACTGTCCCCCGTGTACAAAGCCAGCTCCATAAAGACATGGATGACCAATTTGGTGTGGAGGAACTTAGGTGTCCAGTACAGAGCTCTGACCTCACCCTACTGAACACATTTGGGATGATTTAGAGCATCGATGGTGAGTCAGGTCTTCTCATCCAACATCTATACCTGACCTCACAAATGGGCTCAAATTCCCTCAGACACCCTCCAAAATCTTGTATGAAGCCCTTTCAGAAGAGTGGAGGATGGTACAGACACAGAAGAGGGTTTTCCATAATAATGGCCAGGGGAGAAGTGGAAGAAATCCATATTAATGGTCATTGGGGGTGGGGGGGAGCTGGGCCAATCCATATTAATGGCCATGGGCGAAGGTAGGCATTTCCATAATAATGGTCATGAGGGAAGGTGGGCAACTCCATATTGTTGGTCAGTGGAAGGTGGGCAACTCCATATTGTTGGTCATGGTGGAAGGTGGGCAACTCCATATTGTTGGTCATGGTGGAAGGTAGGCAACTTCATATTGATGATCATGGGGGAAGGTGGGCAAATCCATATTAATGGTCGTATGGGAAGGTGGGCAAATCCATATTAATGGCCAGGGAAGAAGTGGAAGAAATCCATGTCATTGGGGGGGAGCTGGGGCAATCCATATTAATGGCCATGGGCAAAGGTAGGCATTTCCATAATAATAGTAAGGAGGGAAGGTGGACAACTCCATATTGTTGGTCATGGTGGAAGGTAGGCAAGTCCATATTTATGGTCATGGTGGAAGGTGGGCAACTCCATATTGATGGTCATGGGGGAAGGTGGGCAACTCCATATTACTGGCCATGGGGGAATGTGGAAAATTCCATAATAATGGCCATTGGGGGGGAGCTGGGCCAATCCATATTAATGGCCCTGGGCTAAGGTAGACATTTCCATAATAATAGTAAGGTGGGCAACTCCATATTGTTGGTCATAGGGGAAGGTAGGCAACTCCATATTGATGGTCATGGGGGAAGGTGGGCAACTCCATAATGATGGTCATAGGGGAAGGTGGGCAACTCCATATTGATGGACATAGGAGAGGGTGGGCAAATCCATATTAATGTCCATGGGGGAATGTGGACAATTCCACAATACTGGCCAGGAATGAAGTGGGCAACTCCATAATAATGGCCCTGGGGGGGGGGGGGGGGGATACGACCCCATAATAATGGTCATGGGGGAAGATGGGAAATTCCATATTAATGGCTATGGTTCTGGAATAAAATGTCCACCAAGCTCATTTGGATGTGATGGTCAGGGGTTCTCAGACTTTGGCCCTATAATGTATGGTATTTGAAGGATGTATCCTAGAAGAACATTAAATTGAGTTCTGTTCATATAAAATCAATTCAAAAGGACATTTGTGGACTTGTATACATCCCAGCCGTGGGACCTCGTGAAGGCCCCTTCCCAAATAAAACATTAAACAGGAAATGTGTCTCCCGGTGGCCGCTGTAGCTGCCCAAACGTGTTCTCATGATCCTGAAGATGTGTACAAAGTCCCCGGCATACGATAATATCATTTGAGGTGCTCATGTTGAGCTTGTCCATTATCTGCCTCTTGTCGTCAGGTGTCGGCACAGGATATAGAGATGTTGTAAATAGTGTGAAGAAAGAGAAGCTGTTGACACTTCGCAAAACTTCAGTCAGTGGCAACTTGATTGATCCCAACAAAAAGACAAGGAAGGAGGAAGACCTCTTCCTCTAATACGTTTCATACTCAATACCGGGCTCAGTTATAAAGGTGAAATGTGTTAGGAGAGGATGAGGTTCCAGGCTTGCCCAAATCAATCAAGTCATCATTGACTGAATTTTAGTGGGGTGCCACCAGCCCTTCTTTTTGTTTGGCTTCCTTGGCTTAGCATGAGCCCCTCTCTATTGTCTGCTCTTCTTGGAGGGTAATCCAGCTTTTGGGCCTCTGAGCGAAGCTCACAGGTTTTATGTGTACAAATTCTGCTGAGCTGGATGGGGCCACAAACATAAAGAGGATCTCCACTGACCAACAGGAAGTGGAAAAGCTGTGTGTTTGGCTCCCTTCCTAGATGGGTGAGGCCACCATAGTCCATCTCCCACCTCCAGAAATCCAGCAAAGCCAAGCTCTTCATCACCATCCTCAGGGTTCATGTGGACAGGCGTCATAGTTTTCTTTTCAAACACACGTAGCTGTGTGTGGATGGAAAATTGACTGGCTCTGCCTGCAGTTCTGACCAACATTATTAGGAACAAAAGAAACATGATGCAACGCAAAGCTGATCAAACGCAACGTCCGACCTTCTGCTCCAATAAAGCCTATGGGATTCTGCAGTGTTCAGACCCGTCTACATGAGGCACAGACTCATTATTTCCTATCTGAGGACAGACTGAAGGAAGTAGAGTTGGACCTCTGTAGAGGTTCTCCATCTTCTGGTAGAATGTAGATATTCAGAATGACTATGAAGAGGGACGAGGTTCTGGGTGGAGTTCGGGAGAAGGTTCGGACAGATCTCTTACTGACCTTCGTTTTCAGGGTCTATGGCCCCATCACCCCAGCAAATGTCTCCTTTCATCTCCAGACTCCATTTTGTCTGTTTTATTTACATCACACCGTCAGGAAGAGCAATAAATTGTACCACCTGAAGGTCCCTGAATGACAGACGAGATCATCCATTCTTCTATATTTATTTTTAACAAATGTATTATTACCATATCCATCGTATAGAGGTCAGCAGATTTATACCATCTCTAATCGTTCCTCTTTCTGCTTTCGTTCCCGAGCCTTTTCTTTAAGTCGTTCTCTTAACACCTCCCTCTTCTTCCTCATGTGCTCCTCCTTCTCTGCTTCAGTCATCATAGCCCAGCGCTTACGCTCCTCCAAATGCTCATAACGCTTCTGTACCAGTTCTTTTATCTCATTAAGCAGTCTACTGCGTTCTTCATTAGTAAGAAGCCTTGCCACTGTAGAGATAAGAGCA